GGGCAGGGGGATGGAGCCGGGCACTGCTCCCTTTGCCAGAGCTGAGGGTTATTCCTGAGTAACAGCTCCAGGTGGAAACGAATCCCTTCGTTTTTTAAGGGAGGTTTGGCTCCTTTAGCCTTAAAGGTGGTAAAATGAGTTTAAAATAAAACTTGGGTGTTTTCTCCAACCAGGCACCCCCTGTTTGGGGTGTGAAGCTTCCCTGTGCATGGCATTCCCTGTTCCCATTTGGCTGCTGGAAAAGGGACCTGGGGACTTGTTTGGTGTTAACCTCCCTGCCATTAAACCCTGTGATTTATCACTGTGGCTTTCCAGCTTTAGGTTTTCCCATTAATTTTTTTTTTTTTTGCCCCATCGGGAGGCATCCCCAGGTGTCCCAACACAATTCCTGAGTTTTCCTTATTCCTCTCATCTCAACCAAAGACATTCACCTCAAGCCCAGGTGGCAGCCTCATGTGCAGACAAACAGAAGCCATCATTTCATGGGAATGAGGAGGAGAGGAGTCCTGTTATTACCATCACACCTCTGGAATGAGGCAGGGCTGAGCATCCCTGCAGGGGTTGTCTCTTCTTAAGACAAATAATAATCACAAACTGTTCCTCCTCTAATCCCTTTCGTGTTCAGACAACCTGAGGTAAATGATCTTCAGAGAGAAATGAGATTTTCAACCCGACAGGGTCCTTCCCAAAGCCTTTTCATCTCCAGGGCCTTTGATGTACCTGGGAGCACCTTCCTGGCTCTGCTCCTGCCATCTGCATGTGGGGGTTGAGCCCAATTCCATCTCTTAGCTTGGAAAATTTAGGGCCAAACACCAGCTTTTGACTGCATTCGAACCAAACTTTGACTGCTGTTTTCAGATGAAAAATCTTAAAATTAGAGCTACAAACGTACCTAAAAAAAAAACACACAGAGCTCAGCACCTGGAAGGTGAGGATTGAACCAGGGGTGACAAACCAGTTCTTTAAGAGGCTAAAGGATCTCTAAGAGGATAAATCCTCAATTTTTTAGCCTTTTTTTCCCCCAACAGCAGATTTTTCCATCCCACCCAACTCACTTTCACTCACACAAGCACTTTTAGCATCTCCTGGGCCCCTTCCTGGAGCCAGGGGAGCTGCTGCAATCCACTGGAGAAAGCCAAGTGACTCCCTGATGTTTCCTTTGCTAAATGCTCCTTAACCATTTCACAGAGCCTGTTCCTGGCAATGATGTGACAATTCAGCACAAATGTCACCGAGCTGCTAAGTTTGCAGCCCTTTCTGCAGTGCTGAGGCTGGAAAATGGTGCATATCTATTTTTTTTTTTTTTTTTTTTTTTTTTTTTTTTTTTTTCTTTTTTTTTTTTTTTTTTTTTTTTTGCTGATCCAAGTCCTTAGTAATTACACTTAATAGATCCCGGAGGGATTCCTAGGTAACCTGCACTCTGGTTTCCATGGCAGAGAGGCAGAGCTTGTACCCTGTGATAACAGATAATAATGGATTGCTAATGCTTAAATTAATTATGCCACAATTGCATTTGTAAACCAGCTGTCCGTCGTATTCCCAGGAAAACTCTGGAGTTGCTACACAACAGTTCCAGGATAAAAACAAACAAGGCAGAGGGGCAGGAATTGCTCTACAGCTACAAATACTGTTATTACTCCTGTGCCATAACCTTTATTCCTATTTTAGTGTTTCCATGGGTTTAGGTCTAAGTTTCTGTTCTATAAGCTTGGAAGCAAATCTTAAAAATCCTTGGAGCTCCAACCTGTTGACAGACAAGGATCCTTTTGCCCAGCTGATATTGTTGGGGGTTCCCATCTTTGGTAGATGTTTTCCTTCTCCTGTGAAGGACTCCAGGGATCTTACAGTAAAAAATCAAAATAGATCTCCAGGAGATGCCTGTCCATGGCAGGGGGTTGGAATGAGAGGATCCTTAACCAACCCAAACCATTCCTTGATTCCACAGGAATGGAAAAAGATGAGATGAGGCCCCAGGCAAAGCCACAAATCAGGGGCTGTGTCTCCTCTTTGCAAAGGCTCCTGTTGGAGGCTGGAACACAGTGGCAAGGGTTTAAAAGCCCCTGGTTTTGATTCTTTGCTGCAGCAAAGGGAGTTCAGTGCCCTGCAGCCAGGCTGGGCTCAGCAAAGCCTCACTCGCAAAGCTCAGCTCCAGCACTGCCTCATCTCCTGCCCAGGCACGGAGCAGGAATGGTGCTCAGAGCTGTCACATCTCCCAGGCCAGCCCTGCCACGGGAGGGGAGAAGGGCAAACATTCCCTCTGAGCAGAGGGGAAGGCACCAAGACCTCACAAGACAGAAATCAGGCAGACATAAACACTGAGAAGTGCAGCAGGATCCATAATTAGAGCTAAAACAGAAGTTTTGGAGAGGCAAAGCTGCATTCCCTGCCATTCCCACCTGGACAGCCCTGGCTGGAGCAGCACAGGGAGGAGGGGGTTAAAAAGAGGGAGCTGTAAAAAGGAAGGAGTATTTGTGAGGTGTCAGCTGGATTTGAGCTGTTTGGTTTGAAGAGCTCCCACCCCTCCCTGGTGATCCTGTTCCTGGGATGCTCTGGCTGGGAAATGTGGGGGATCCTGTGCCTGCAGTGGCAAAGGAAGGATTTTCTGCTGCCCCTGCCCAGCTCAGGGGATGCAGGATGCAAACAGGCCCAGCCTGAGCAGAGGGGCTGAGCAGAACAGGAATCCAGGAGCAGGGCTTGGATGCCCCCATTTTTCCAGCTGAGGGCTCAGCTTTGGTGCCCTGTGTGTAAATCACAGAACCATGGGATGGTTTAGGCTGGAAAACGCTCTGGAATAGAGTCCAACCATTCCCCCTTGGCACTGCCAAGCCACCTCTGCTCCACGTCCCCAAGTGCCACATCCACACAGCTCCAGGGGTGGGGACTCCATCACTGCCCTGGGTGAGGAATTATTCCCAAATATCCAATCTGAACCTCCCTGGTACAACTCGAGGCTGATTCCTTTTGTCCTGTCACATTTTCTTGGGAGAAGTGACCAGTGAAGGCTGTGCTCCCTCCCTCAGGTGCACCCCAAAGTGAGGGAACAGGGAACTGGGGGGACCAGCAGTGTGGGAAGAGCAGGGCTGTGCTGTTTGAGCCGGGAATTCCTCCATGGAGCAGCCCAGGGATGCTGGAATTGCAGCTGAGCCCTCCCCGGCTGCAGGGCTGGGGGCAGGAGCTCGTTCAGTGCCCCAGTGGGGCCGTGCCAAGGCAAACAATGACACTGATAATCGCCTGCAATCTGTTATTATATTACCAGCAGCTCAAAAACCCTAAAACCCAATAATCTTCTGAAATGCAGCTAATCCCTCCCAGCGCCAGCAAGGCTGGGCTTGGCACGGCCGGGCTGGGGAAGGGAAGGAGCAGCGAGCAGGGGGTGCCTGCTGCCTTTGGAAGGTTTTCCATGGCACAGGAGGAGAGGTTTGCCAGGAGCAGCCAGCCCTGGGTGGGTACCTGGCTGCTCTCTGCAATCCCTGCCTTGGCTTGGCTGCCTTTGACCCTGTTGCTAAGCTACAAATCTGCCTTTCCAGCAGGCTCCAGCATCCTCGCTCCCACCCACTCCCAAACGCGAGCTGAATCAGGCTGCTGGGAAAAGAAACCATCCCCGGCCAGCCAGGAGCTGGCTTTTCCCGTTTTCTTTTCCAGCAGCTCGGCAGAACAGCCCAGGAAAAGCTCCCAGCCCTGTCCCCACTCCATCCCAGCGATGTGGGGAGAGCTGGGAGGGGAACAGGGAAAAGCCTTTGGACCATCCCAGGGTTTGGATGCAGCAGGAATAGCTGAGGATCCCAGCGACTCCGAGAAATAGCAACCACCCACGTGCTGCCAGCATCGCCCACCCTGGTGCCAGCCACGCTCCCACCGTGGCACCAGGGATGGGGTGCCAGGAATGGGGTGCCAGGATGGATGAGGGGTCAGGGATGGGGTACCAGGATGGATGAGGGGTCAGGAATGGGGTACCAGTGGATATTTTCCTGACCAGTGTCCCACAGGAGGATGTGCTGGAGGGGTGCCCTGACATTGCTGGGGTCCCACAGCATTGTCCAGGATGTGCTGCAGGGATGCTCCCAGAGGGGTTGAACCCTTTTGCTGGGATGTTCAGCCCAGCTGGGGTGGCTGGGTGTGCACAGGGCAGGTGCAGTGGGGTTCCTGCAGTGCTTTCCAGGTAAAATCATTGAATTCTGGGATGGTTTGGGTGGGAAGGGACCTCCAAGTTCATCCCATCCCACCCCTGCCATGGCAGGGACACCTCCCATTGTCCCAGATTGCTCCAAGCTCCATCCAGCACGGCCTTGGACACCTCCAGGTAGTTCCCAGGAGCTTCATTTGGTCCATATAAACTCAGGAAAGGTTATTAGAGCACTCCCAAAATGCTGCCTGAACATGGACCCCTGTGTGCTGGCCTGATGTCCTGGATACCTGGGAAATAATTGTGTTTATTGGGAAATGTCCTGTGGACACTTCAAACCATCCCCAAACCACTCTAAGATCCCATATAATCTGCTTTTTTTGGGTTTTTCATCCTTTTCATTGACCACCCGATAAAGAACCAATTTTAGTTCTGTTTTTAAGGCCAGAATTCCTATGGGATGATCCATGATCCATCAGGGGGTGCAGCCAAGCAGCTTAAAAAACCCTCCAAGGGTTCCTGGGCACTCTGGGAGGTGTAAATTGGGATGTGCTCATCCCCAGAGCTGCCTGCAGAATTCCAAGGATCCATCTAATTCCTTTCCTTCTCTTTCTCTTGCAGGGTTCAGCTCCCATCCTGGTAGTCATGGTGATCTTACTAAATATTGGAGTCGCCATTTTGTTTATTAACTTTTTCATCTAATTCAAGACTGTCTTGTTTGCAAAAATAACAGTTACATGTATGAATGGGGGAAAAAAAACAAACAAAACAAAACAACAACAACAACAACAAAAAACAAAACAGAACCAAACAACAACAAAAAAAAAAAAAAATCAAAGGGAAAAATCATAACTCGAACTGTCCTCTGACAATTTCCAAGTCTTTTCACAGAAGAACAACAAATGATCGAGTCTCACTCACAGTTTGCCTTTTTTCCTGGGTAATGTTTTTTGGATTTTAGCCAAAATTCTTTGCTTGTATAACACTATGCTGTGTGGCATGGCAAAATGCTATCAACACTCTGCCCCCCCAACACTGGGAAGGATGAGAAGGAATCCCAACAAAAGAAAAAAAAAAAAAAAACTCATTTCCCTTCCCCCCCCCCCCCCCCCCCCCCCCAAAAAAAAAAAAAGTCTTTGTAACAACAGCAATGAACCTTAAAATGGAGATGAGACAAGGGGACCATGGGGAGAGTTTGGGTGGAGTGGGGATGGGTTCTGGGATGCTCCAGGCTGAGTTTCCCAGGGAAAATCCACAACAGCTTTAATGATAAATGGGAGAGAAAAGCAAAATCAGGCTTTTCACCCTTTGGAAATGGAGGAATGCTGCTGTGGGAAGGAGGAGAGAAGGAGCACAGGGAAGGGGTGAACCCTGTCTGGATGGGAAAATGGGAGAGCAGGCCCCATTCTGATCCTTGTTTTTAAATCAAAAATTGGCTTTTTGCAGAATTCCTCGGGGCAGGGGGGGAATAGGGAACACGAGGTGTGAGCAGCAGCCCCAGCACCCTCCTGCCTTCCCTCCTCCTCCCCAGGCTGCTCCTCACCCATGGCAAGGCTGGAAAACCACCCAGAGCTACTTTTAATTCACAGCCAATTTCTCCTGGCTAAAAATTCCCCCCCACCCCCCAAAAAAAAAAAAAAATAAAAATAAATAAACCCTTGGAGGCACCTCCAGCAGCATGGATGGAGCAGCTGATGGTGCTGTGCTGGTGAGGAGCATCCAGCCCATCCCAAAAAAACGTGCACAGGGAGCAGGGTGGGGAGGGACAGGGGACAGAGGGCTCAATTCCAAATTCCAAATCCACTGAAGATGACAATAAAAAAAAAAAAAAAAAAACAAGCAAAAATCCAACTGTTTCTCAAAGGCACCTGGGGAGGAGCACCTGGAGCATGTCCCAGAGAGGAGGGAGAGGGTGGTGGGTTTGTCTCTTACATCTTGCTGTGGACTGTTTCAGACATCATGCTTGGGCTCTGAGCATGTAGTATTTTGCACTTTGTAATGCAGGATGTATATTCCAGCTTCCAACATGTCCCTGTATTAAAAAAAAAAAAAAAAAAAAAAAAAAAAAAAAGGAAAAAAAAAAAAAAAAAAAAAAAAAAAAAAGAAAAAAATCAAACCAAACATCATTGGCAATGACAGCCTCTAAGGATGTATTTTCTTTCTTTTTTTTTTTTTTTTCTATGTCACTTAATTTGTTCGTTTCTACCATCTTTGTACTATGCCTGCCTTGATTTCTGTCCCCTCCCTGTCCCCACGGATAATCTGCATACTCATTAAAGATGCCGTGTCCCTGTTCTGAGCTGTCCTGGTCCCCATCACACCGCGTGCTCCCAGTCCCAGCCCTTTCCCAGAGCTCCCATTCCCTCCCCAGCAGCTCCTTTGGGATTTGGCAGGGCCAGGGACCAAATCCCAGCCCCGGGCCCTGCCTGCAGCAGCAGCAGGAGGGAGCAGGGGGGTGGCAGCTCCCAAGGGTGGGGGTGAGACCCTCCCAGGAGATTTTGGGGGTGGGCAAGGAGGGACGAGCCCTCCTCGACATTCACGTCCAGAGTTGTTGGATCCAGCCCGGACTCGTGGACTCAGCTTTGCTTTGCTTCTGTTTTAGCTGTTTCTCTGCTACCTTTTCAGCAGATTTCTTATTACACTGCACTGGATTGCTATATTTTTAACCAGAAATAAACTAAGGATTAGAGCATGTGCCAGTTAAATTCAGTTCTTTTCCTTACATGGTCTGATTCCCTCCTGTCGCAGTTTTGCTTCCTCTTCTCCTTCCTTTCCCTTTCCAGGCACAGGGCTATGGGTGGACAGGGGAAAGGATAATTTTGAAGTTCCATTTTCCACACTAACTGTCCATCATCTTCCCACCTCTTCCTTTTTTTGTGTTGTTTTGGATTTTCCTTTTGGGTCCTTAGTCATCTTTTTTTTTTTTTTTTTTTTTTCCCTCTTCAACGCTTGCTGCACACTTAAAATGAACCAAAAAAACGACATTTTGGGATTGCAGCCTTGGGAATTCACCCCTGGGGTTTGGAATTCTGCTTTTACTCTTTGGAAAGACTCTCGAGGACTTTTTTTTTTTTTTTTTTTTTGGTGCATTCGAGTGCAGGACACAAAGGTCCTGTCAGGAGCAGATTAAACAGAGCCCTGCAGACACAGATATTCAGATATCTGTAAAACAGCACCAAAAATGCCTCTTGTTATCCAGCAAATAAAAGCACTGGTGGTTTCCCGACTGGATTTTTCCCACTGGTGCCTGCCTAATTATTCCTGCTCTTGCCCCTGAACCTGCACAATTCCAGCTTGGATTTTTCAGCTCTCTGTCCCACTCAGTCAAGCTGAGTTTTGCTCAGTAGGAAAGACAGCCACAGACTAATATTAATTGGCTCCCAACCCACATGGTCCAAAATAATGATTCCTTTCTTAATCCCGGGGTGTTGAGTAATTTGTCTCAGTCCTGGGCTTTTCACGTTTGCCCAAGGCCAGAAATATTCCTGAGAAGTAGCCCAGAGAGAGAAGGTAATTCAGTGTATTTCCTCTCTTATGAGCCTGGCTCCTGCAGATCTACCTAAGGCCCATTAAAATGCCCATCAAGGTGGGCCATAAATCCATGGAAATGATCCAGCCCTGCTGCTTTATGTCCAGGCTGGCAGCTGCACTTGGTCATTTTAAGGTTTGGACTTTTTTTTTTTTTTTTTTTTTTTTTTTTTGGAATTTGTCTGTTCTGACAGCACGAGGAGGGGCTGGCACAGCAGAAAGGGGAATTTGGGAAGGGAAATTCGGATCCCACCTGCTAAGAGGGGCTGGTCCAGCAGTGCATCCTTGGGAGAAGAGAGAAGGAAAGAAGGGAGACAAAGCAAACCCCCTGTGGCACCCAGCTGCTCCCCAGCCCATCTGGTGTCTGGGTTTTGTACCCGAGACCCAGATTCCAAAACTCTCCAGAGCCTGAGATTCCAGAGATCCCGAGCTGTGGCAGCATCCGTGGCAGGAATTGCTGCCGGGAAAACACATCCACACTGCATCAGAAGGGGAGGAGCGACAGGAGAAACAGGGTGGGACCCACGCTGAAGGGTTTAATTGAGACCCGAGGACTAATTACAGGCGGCAGCTTTGGCAAGTGCAGGGAGGATGGAAAACAGGGATTTTTTTGGAAGCTGTCACACAGAGAGGGAGGCTCCAGAGGGCTGTGCTAAGGATGGAGCAGGGATGGGATGGGATCTGCTGAGCTGGGGGTGAGGGGTTTGCACACAGCACAATCCTGACCGTGGCAGCTTCTCCTGGTTTAGGGAACAGCTCAGCTCCTTGCACAGCTCCTGAATGACTGCAGCAGTCGTAGGGTCACGGAATCACGGAATGGGTTGGGCTGGAAGGGATCTTACAGCTCATCCCATCCCAGCCCTGCCATGGACACCTTCCCCTGTCCCAGGCTGCTCCAAACCCTGTCCAGCCTGGCCTTGGACACTTCCAGGGGTCCAGGGACAGCCACAGCTCCTCTGGGAACCTGTGCCAGGGCCTGCCCACCCTCACAGGGAGTGGCAAATCCCCCAAACTTTGCACAGAAAGATGTGAACTTACCCAAGGGAGAGGACAACAGGGTGAGTGACCGAGCAAGCATGAGAGATTCCTTCCTGGATGAACAGGATTAACAAGGAATGCTTTGTTTTCACCTTTCCCATCAATAAACGGTTTATTTCCACCTCTCACCCGTTATTTTGTGAGGAAGGTCCCTCCCTGTCAGACATGTTTTTATCTCACCAATTCAAGCTCCCTGTCAGCTCTATTTAATCTTCCTTCTGTCCTAATGAGCCCGCTGGATCCCAGCTCTGGAGAGCTGCATCCCTGGGGATGGCCCTGCCACAGCAACACCCAGGGCACCTGGAATTCCCTGCACAAGGCCAGCCAGCCCTGGTGGCACCTCCAGGCATCACTTGGAGCCCATCTGTTGTCCCCAAGGACACAGCAATGCTCTGCTGGGAAGGAAGGGATGCCTTGAGGAGAGAGGCTGAAAAACAAATCCTTGGATCAGCCCAATCCTCCCTGGCCTCACTGAGGTCTGCAGGTGGACATTTCACTGGTCATGAGAGGTCACCTGCAGGACAAATGGGCCAACAGGGGGAAAAACTCAACTGGGAGATACCACAAAGGGAAAACTACAGTGAACATGGAAAAGGAAGAGGATTCTGTGAGTGCATCCCACAGGTAAGGCAGGAAAGGAGTCCCAGGTTTTCTCCAGGCATCTCAAAGCTGCTGGTGCACTTCACACAGCAGGAACTGCAATCCCTCTTGCACACCAGGAAGAAAACAACAACAGAAGCTGGGATGGGATTTACTGAGCAAAACAAGATGATATAACCAAGTTTATTGTAGGAACCTGTGGAACATCCTGGCCCAATCAGAAATTTGGGACCAGTGAACCATTGTTCGTCTGGACAGACACAAACCAACTTTACAACAACAAAGTCAGTGTTGTACAGTCCAACCTCAGCAGAACAAGTGCTTGGACAGCAATCCTGTTCCTCAGGACCCTCCCACAGCATTCCCAGGAGTAGCAGCAGATCCAGAGCATCCATCCAGGATGGTCAGCCCAGAGGTGGCAAAGGCTGGAGGCCAGGATGGACATCTGAGCTCAGCAGGGCTCACCACTGCTCCCAGCACATTCCTTCACTGCTGCAGCAGCCTCAGGACGTCTGGATGGCATCTTCATAGAAAGTCTTGGCCATGGCATGAGCCACCTTGAGCACCTTCTTGTCCTTGGCCTCGGGGCCCATGTGGCTGCGGGCCAGCCTGAGCCAGTACTGCTCTGTCCTGGCCACGTAC